ATCATTACCAGAAAATCGAGTGCACCCGGGAGTAATTTGGGTATAAAATATTAGTGCATGTCTTTGGGTTATAATTTTTGGGTACACATAGTGTAATTCATTAATTTTATGCCTTACTCTTTCCTTCGCCTCAAATTAATCTTTCTACTTTGATTTCGTACAAAATTTTAAAAAAAATTATATGGTAAAAAGTGATTAGAAAAGAGAGAAAAAAGGAGAGCCAAAAAAAGCTTTCTAAAAAATGAAAGAAGAAAATTAATTTAGGACAGTGTAAAAAAATTAACAGGATTAATTAGAGATAGAGAGAATATTACTTACTTTTATTAAATTATATCATGTGCAGGTGGAGCTGGGGGTCTCTTGGAAACAGCCTCCCTACTTCCGAGTAGGGGGAAGGTCTGCGTACACACACCTTCCGTAGACCATACTGTTGTGGAATTCACCTGGGTTGTTGTTGTTGTTGTTATTAAATTATATCATATGAGAAATATTTTAAATATAACTTGAATTAATGTAAATCAACTTTAATAAAATCAAATTAATAAGATCCAATTACACTCGCACCCAACTTTAACGATAAATTTGGACATCATATGTTATACATACATACATACATACACACACACACATATATATATATATATCTATGTATGTATGTATCTGTGTGTGTTTGTGTGTTTTGTCAAACTATGGCACCTTTGACAAGAATTATGGAAAACGTATATTTAGTTATAATGTAAATTTAGTAAAATTAGTTCTATTTTAAAATATAATTTTGAAATATTAAATTTTATAATATTTAATTATTTTAAACTATATTTAATTTGTGGTCAAAAGGTACCACAATTTGACCATAAAAATCAAATTGTGACAATCTTTTGAACCGATGATTAGTTTAGGAGAGTTATTAGGAGTAATAGGGATTAATTTAAAATAGAATATTATTATTTACTTTTCATATTCTACTGTTACCCTAATTCTTTATTCTACTTTGATAAGGATTCTTCATATATTCTATATACTCATGTAATTTTCATTATTTGACAAGACTTATTAACAAATTGTATCACTTCTGTCTCGTTGGATTCTTTACCATTATTATTTACGTGGCCAAACTATTTTCTTAACTAATGTAGAGCATACACTTATTTCTTTTCTGATTTTGTGGACTTTTTGATGCATTTTCAAAAAATATATAAATTTTAATTTTAAATTTTACACCAATATTAAAAAAAAAATTTAAGATTTATAAGCCGAATATCATAAATGTAGTGTAAAGAAAGCATTTAAATTTAAGAAAAAAAGAGCCTTCCTGAATTGGGTGAGGATTGTTAGCGGCTCACTGAGTGCGCTGTTTTCGTATATTGGAAGCAACTCTTTGAATTCAACCCCTTGTATCGTGAGATCAGCCGTGACAAGCCTATTATCTCGTGACAGTTGAGACACATCTTGCGACTTACTCTTTTATTGGACTTAGGGGGTGGGGGGGGGGGGGCTAAGGGATGGGCTTCATCTTTGAAAAAAGAGAAGAAGAGAGGAAATGTACTCCCTCCGTCCCAAAAAAATTGATACATATTGACTTTTTGGGAAATTAAAGAAGGAATATTTTGGTGTTGACTTTCCAAAAATACCCTTGATGTGATGGGTAAAAGTAGGATGTGATATGTAGATTATTAGGAAAAAGGTATGATGTGATAGGTAGGGTATGAAAAAGTAAGGGGTAAAAGTGGTTTTTTATTAGAAATGTAACGGACTTTACGGGACGCGGTTTTTTTTAAACGTAACAAACTTTTTGGGACGGATGGAGTATAAAAGAGGAAGAAGAGAGGAAATGCATAGAAATGTGTGGCCCCAAAATCATGAGGGGAAGAGGGCCAAAAAGCTGTGCTCATTGATCACCTACCTGCAGCAGTTTATGAATGAATGAATGAATGAGGAGGTCAGGTGTGGAAAGTGACCGCAAGCTTCCTCACTCGCATTGGGTATGGGCAAATTCCCAATGGATTTGCACTTTGCACCCAACCTTACATTATTTTGTGTATTAAAAATTGAGGTCAAAAGAGCCCCAAACTTCCCTTTCCTCTTCGGACAAAGACATGTCCATACATTCACATATAAGGTCACATTATTGGTCTTGTCTATGGGACATGATTTTACATCCCCATTTTTTTGTTTGTAAAATTAAAAAGGTATGTTTGTTTTTGTGAATTTGGAGTGGCATATATCTATCTCTATTCTCTACTATGGACCTTAGGTCCATCAGGTAATCATTTGTCATTCTACGCTAATACCGAATGTAAAATTTATTACAGATTTCTAAGTATGAGTTTGAAATTATTGTTGATAGAGTTATTTTACATAGTATTAGAATTTTATTGACTAAAAGATCACGAATTTGTATCTCATCGCTGCCCTGTTTTAAGAAATTAATACTCCATCTATCCCAAAAATGAGTCTTTATTTCTTTTTCTGGGAGTCCCAAAAAAAACTCTTCTTTTTAGTTTTGAAAAAACATTATGTGACTCACAATCTTTTCTCTCATCTTTGCATCACTTTTAACCATACAATTTTACTTTTACTTATATTTTGTATCAAACTAAATGAGAAATCTTATTTTGGGGCGGCAAGAGGAGTATTTACGTGCAAGGTTCGGACAAAACAATTCTCTCATACACCTGAGGAAGCGTGTTAGAATACAAAATTTTTTTTAAACTTACCGCAGCGGTTGAGATATTTCCTTGACAAAATTACAAAACAATATACCACCACTATCTCCAAATAAAACCAATGGGGAGAATTACGAAATAAAATGCAATTCTATTTGGAAAGGGAGAAAGATCAAACTAGAACTAAAACATTGAAAATATACCAAAATATGACTTCCATGATTTTATTCCCGAAATAGGACTTACATTACCAAACATGGTCATATACATTACCAAAAAAGTATAGTACTTTGCACATGTACACTGCCACATTACCACAATACAAAGTCACATTACCACAGTGCAAAGTCCTATTCCTGAAAAAAAATATGAAAGTCTTATTTTGGTACTTTTCTCTATGTTTTAGTCCTATTTAGGATGATTTCTAATTTAGAAAATGGTACTCTCTCCGCCCCAAAAACTTTTTCACTTTCTTTTTTTACTTGTCCCACAAAATCTTTTTCATTTCTATTAAAAATTACTTTTATCTCTACTAATTCTTAACATATCTATCATTACATACTCTTTTACTAATAATCTACACATTACATCCTATCTTATCCCTCACAATTTTTGGAAAGTCAACATAAAAAATCCCTTCTTTAAATTTCTTAAGTAAAAAAGGGTACATCTTTTTTAGACGGAGTAAGTACATGAAAAACAAAATTTATGTATATTAATTACTCACTCCATTCACAAAAGAATTTTCTATTTGATATTTTTTGATCTTCAATGCAATATGTTGACAATTTCACGCTTCCTAAACTGATTTCGGGATCAACAGTTCGGGGATCAAATGAGATCGTACTGGCACCGTGTCCAAGCCTGGCCCAATTAACAACAGTTCTACTCGGTTCTTGGTGAGGAGCGCACCGCTCCCCTCAGTTGGGCCCTCTTGGAAGATGGGCCTCGTACCATGACAATTGTATACTTTTAAAGTATTTTAATGTGCACGGGCGAATTTTCATTAAGATTAATATTATTATGAATAAAAAAATACAAACGCGTATACACCAATTTTACCAATATTAAAATTTATCATTTCTGTTGAGAGGCGAATAAAAAATTGAAATCTTTTTTCTTTAATTTATTTATAATAAAATATTAAGAACATAATTGTTTCCTTAATTTAAAATGGGGTTTTATTCGGGTCAACCAAATTAATTGAGGAGGCAATGCAATTCGAAGTATCAAGACCACTAATACTTTTCTAATTATTTTAAATTATTTTGTATTTAGTCAAAGTATCAAGACCAGGTTCATTGTGAGTGAGATTGTTTAGAATTATATTATGAATAAAAATTAATAAATTGTAGTATGTCTGGAGAATCTGATTTTTTGGTGTTAATGACGCACAAAAAGTCAAAGCTTCTACTCCTGTTTGGCTTGAACCTGGGCGAACATGAATCATGAGAAGTGGACTTTCTAGGACTCAAGTCAGGAGAAAAGTTCTTGAGGCTGTATTTTATTCCAGAGTTAGTAAATTGTTTGAGTTATTAAAATAGATAAAAGCATACTCCCTCCGTCCCACAAAAAAGTTCCCATTTTGACCATAAATTGGTCAAACAGTTACCCGCTTTGACCATAAATTAAATATAGTCTAAATAAAGAAATGCTAAAAAAATTTGAGATATCAAAACTAGATCCTAAGATGAATCCAATTATATTAAATTTATTTTATAATTCAATATATCTTTCTCACAATTTGTAGTCAAAGCGTGTAAATATTTGACTAAATACTATTCAAAATGAGAATTTTTTTGTGGGACGGAGGGAGCATAACGGAACAACATGATTAAAACATCAAAATATATTGAACTAAACTATAAATGTTTATGAACACCAAGAAGTCCAAAATCTACATAAAAACTCTATATCTGAAAGAATTCACGGGGTCGTAAACACAATATCAAACTTTTCTAGCATTCTCCAAACTTCAATTAGCACACCAATAATGTTCTCTAAATAATACATGATATGCCCAAGCCCGACTCTTTGGAAGCCGGTCGGGTACCTACACCCATAATAGAGTGTATCAAACCACAACTTGGAACACAAAATCACAACAATCGTTGTTCAAAGTGAAAAAATACCCAAAAAAAAGCTTGAGAGATACAAGAACAATTATACCGAGGTCAAAATTAAATAACAATGTGACCGTTAGATGTAAGGAAGATATTGTCAAGAACAACGGAGAAATGTTTGTAACATGTTTTGGAGAATAAGAAACTTGTGAACTTGATGATAGGAATTAAAACTTACTTCACATGGAAACATGAGTTCTAGATTTAGATTTTAGATATGAAACTTTCATTATTCAATAAGATCAATTATTATCAAACTGAATCAGAACGAATATAGACATACACTGTGTCTACATTCATTCATTTTTTTAATGTATCATAAAATTCATAATAGAGACAATTAACAATGAATGGAGGTAGAACTATCTGATCAATAGCTTTGATTTTTCTGACGATCACCAACCCCGAGGCCAATATGCCCGTGGCTGGTCAAGAGAGGGGACGATCGCTGGCGGCGTTGCTCGTTGCGGTGATGTTTAGCTTTAGCGTCTTGGTCCTTGGGTTTTTTCTTCCCACCTTTTTGTTGTATCCCTTCAAGTGTCTCTAAAACCTCATCCATATCCGGCCTAAGCTTGTGGTCTTGCTCAAGGCACTTTAGTATGAGATGGGATATTTGACAAGCACTCTCAAAAGGGTACATTTGCTCTAGACGAGGATCCATTAATGATCTCCTCAAACTCTTTTTATTGGGTAATATGGGTTTGGCCCACTCGACCAAATCGTGCTTACCGAGTTCTCGGTCCAAATCAAGAACCCTCAAGCCCGATATCATTTCGAGTAGTACTACTCCAAATGCATAAACATCACTCTTTATGTACAAATGACCTGCAAAGTTTTGTTTATTTGCAATAAATATATTTGTTAATGACACCTCTAAGGGTGGCTCAAAAGAATAAGTAGAACCAATAATATAACAAGTGCACTAAAATAAAAATACTCCCTCCATCATAAAACATTTTTCCTGTTTCTGTTTACGAGTTTTGACCGTCTTCATTTTTAATTTAATTTATTTTATTGTAAGTATGAAATTAAAAATAAAATTTATATATTTAAAAATTACATCAAAAATTCTACAAAACGAGAGGTGACAAGCCTGATATTATTTTATCAAATAACTAACAAAATAGGTAAAAAAGTGATCAAAGTTTGACCGTGTGAATATTAAATGTGAAGAACATTTTTGGATAGAGAGAGTATATAACAACAAATTACTACGGAGTACCATTCTGGACCGGACCTGAGGGAGGTCGGGGCGGGCGACGACCCCGAGCCTCTTAAGTTTAAGAGGCCCCAAATATTTTAAGCGCAATGTTATGAGTAACTTAGAAATAAATTTTTAAGTCTAAAAAATATTTTTTACTTATATTTCTTGATATTTATTCGAAGGTAGAAAACTATTGTACAAGTAGAGGTGGCAATCGGATCAACCGGATCGGTTTCGAGTTGAATTTTTTCGGTTCGGATATCTTTCGGTTATATGTTATAATCGGTTCGGTTCGGTTCGAATCGGTTAAATTTCGGTTCGGATTTGATTTCGGTTCTATACATTTTTTGGTTTGGTTCGGTTTCGAGTCAGTTCAAATACGGTTCGGTTATAAATCGGTTCGAATAGATTTCGGTTCGGATTTGATTTGAGTCGGATATATTTCGGTTTCGGGTCTAGTTCGGTTCGGATATATTCCGGTTTCGGATCAAATATTCTTTTGATATATATTATTTTCTAATTAAAATTTAACTATCCGTGTTTCTTTTTATGTTTTATCACATTTATCAATCTATCATCAATTCAATACCTCATATTATTTTATATTTTTTTCTAGTTATATTATCTATACCCTAAATAATCTTCTCTTTTTGACTTTTTAGTCATATTTTACAAATTTGGACTACAAATTATGAAAACATATATATATATTTAATTATGATATAAATTTAATATAATTAAATTGATTTTAAAATTTAGTTTTGAAATAT